GCTGGTTGCAAAAGGCTATACACAGACATATGGGATTGATTATCTGGAGACCTTTGCCCTTGTTGCCAAGATGACTTCTGTGAGAGTTATGCTATCTTTGGCTGCACACTCAGACTGGCCACTTTATCAATTGGATGTAAAGAATGCATTTCTGAATGAAGAGTTACATGAGGAGGTCTATATGTCTCTTCCTCTACGGATGTATGAAACAAATATGAAAGGAAAGGTTTGCAGGCTGAAGAAATCTCTTTATGGACTCAAGCAGTCCCCTAGAGCATGGTTTGAAAGGTTTAGGGCTGTCCTTGTTAGCTTTGGTTATGTACAGACACAGTCTGATCATACCCTCTTTGTGAAGAGGAGAGGATCCTTGGYCGTTTACCTGATTGTGTATGTTGATGATATTGTTGTGACTGGTAATGATGTCTTAGGGATTAATGATCTCAAATCTTTCCTTCATACAGAGTTTGAGATCAAAGATCTGGGGGAATTGAGATACTTTCTTGGCATAGAAGTTGCTAGACCCAAGGATGGGATCCTTCTCTCAGAGAAAGTATGTTCTTGATTTGCTCTCTGAAACAGGGAAGATGGGTGCTAGACCAGTTGCTACTCCTATCGATATGAGCCATAAACTCTCTGCTTCAGATGAAATATTGTTAGAAGATAAGGGAGTCTTCCAGAGACTACTTGGAAAACTTCTTTATCTATGCATGACTCGGCCAGACATTGCATACGCTGTCAGTTGCATCAGTCAGTTCATGCATGCTCCCAGGGATACTCACATGGCAGCAGCAGAGCGAATTCTGTGTTATTTGAAGGGCTCCCCTGGAAAGGGAATTCTATTTGCTAAGCATGGCCATATGAAACTTGAAGCCTACACAGATGCTGACTGGGCCGGAAACGTTAATGGCAGAAGATCTACCTCTGGGTACTGTAGCTTGGTGGCAGGTAATATTGTCTCTTGGAAGCAAGACACAATCAGTTGTTGCTCGATCTTCAGCCGAAGCAGAATACAGAGCCATGGCTCATGGAGTTTCTGAACTATTGTGGCTTAGATCC